CCAAGGGCTGAGGGACCCCCCCCCCCGAGTGCACAAATTTCGTGCACCGGGCCTCTAATATGAAATAATCTTAATAGCCATATAACTATTAAAGACATTGGCTTCATTATTTACTTTTTAAATAATATGTTTTAATTGATTTCAGAGATAAGGGAGAGGGAGAGAGAGATAGAAACATCAATGATGAGAGCGAATCACTGATCGGCTGCCTCCTGCATGCCCCCTACTTGGGATTGAGTCCATACCCTGGGCATGTGTCCTGACCAGGAATCAAACCATGACCTTCTGGGTATATAGGTCAATGCTCAATCACTGAACCCCACCAGCTAGGCTGGCTTCATAATTTTAAAAATCCCTGAAAAAAAAAAGTCTGTAGGACCAGATGGTTTTACTAAAGAATTCCATAAAACTTTCAAGAAGAATTAACACCACTTCTACACAATCTCTTCCAGAAAACAGAAGAGTAGGGAACATGTTCCAACTCATTTTGTGATGCCAGATTACGCTGATACCAAAAACAGACACAGGCAATATGAAAGAAAACTACAGACCAATATCCCTCATGAACTCAGACACAAAATTCCTTAATAAAATATTGGCTAATAGAATTCAGCAATATTTATAAAATTTACACACCACAACCAAGTGGGATTTATTTTAGAGAAGTGAGACTGGTTTGATATTTGAAAATTAATCAATGTAACCCACCTTATTAACAGGCTAACCAAGAAAAACAATATGATCATATCAATTTACACAGAAAAAGCACTTGATAAAATTCAACATCTGTGGGTGATTTTAAAAATCTCAGAAAACTAGCAATAGATATAAACTTCCTCAACTTGATACGAACATCTTAAAAAACCCTACAGATAACATCATACTTATTGGTGAAAGACAGAATGCATTTCCCTTAAGATCAGGAACAAGGCAAGGATGTCCACTCACATCACTCTTATTCAACATAGCACTGAAAATCCTAGCCAGATCAATAAATCAAAGAAAGAAAATAAAAGGCACACTGTTTGGGAAAGAGAAATAAAGCCATCTCTATCTGCAAATGACACGATGCCCAACATAGAAAATCTCAAAGACTCTTAAAAAAAACTAAAAAAACAAAAACAAAACCCTCCTAGAACTAATATATAAGCTTGGCAAGGTCACAGGATATCAGATCAACACACAAAAAAACAACTGTATTTCTATATTTTTGCAATGAACACATGGAAACTGAAAATAAGGTTGAATAACCTTTACAATTGCTCAAAAAGAAGAAATAATTAGATGTAAATCTAACAAAACATGTGCAGGCATTGTATACAGAAAACCATAAAATACTGATGAAAGAAATAAGAGAAAATCTAAATAAGTAGAGAAAAATGCCATGATCATAGATTCGAAGACTCAACAGAGTAAAGGTGTCCATTCTTCGCAAATTGATATACAGGTTTAACACAATTCCTATCCAAATCCCAGCAAGATTTTTAAAAAGATATAGACAAGCTTATTCTAAAATGTATATGGAAAAGAGCTAGAATAGCTATGATTGTTTAAAAAATAATAAAGTGGAAAGACTCACTCTACCTGATGCTAAGTCTTATTATCTATATATATAAAAGCCTAAGCGATCAGCCGACCAGCTGACTGACCAGTAGCTATGATGGGCACTGACCACCAGGGGGCAGATGCTCAATGCAGGACTGGAAACCACAGGCATGGAAACATGGAACAGACTGGTGAGTCTCTGAGGGAAAGAGGGAAGGGGGAGGGCGGGAAGAGATTAACTAAAGATCTTATATGCATAGTAGAGGCCAGATGCACTGATTCATGCACCGGTGGGGTCCCTCGGCCTGGCCTGTGGGGATCGGACCAAAACTGGCTCTCCAACATCTCCTGAGGGATCCCGGATTGCGAGAGGGCACAGGCCAGGCCGAGGGACCCCACCAGTGCATGAATCCATACACCGGGCCTCTAGTATAATTATAGTTATCAGGAGAGAGTCATACAGGTGGAGAGACAGACACATGAGTTAATGGAGCAGAAAAGAAACAGACCCACATGCATGCAGCCAACTGATGTTTGGCAAAGGATCAATAGTAAGTCAATGGAGTAAGGATAGTTGTTGTTTTTTCAAAGTGTGCTGACAACTGGATAGCAATAGTCAGATAAAATAAAACCTCGATCTATATCTCACTTCTTATATAAAAACTAGAGGCCTGATGCACGAAATTCATGCAAGGGGCTCAGCCCCTGCCGCCACCACTGCTGCCTCTGCCCCGGCCCCCACCCGCCTCCGTGGCACCTCTGCCTCAACCCCTGCCGCCTTGGCTTCATCAGGAAGGTCGTCCGGAAGCATGTCTGGTCTAATTAGTATATTACACTCTTATTATTATAGATTAAGTCAAAATGGATGACAGAATTAAATGTAAAGAGTAAAAGCAAAACACTTTTAGAAGATAACACAGAAAGAAATCTTGGAGACCTAGGGCTTGATGAAGAGTCCTTAGACATGATATCAAGAGCACAATCCATAAAAGAAAAAATGATAAAATGCCTTCATCAAAATTAACATCCTCTCTATGGCAGACACTTTTAAAAGGATGTAAAGACAAGCTACAGCCTAGGAGAAAATGTTTGCAAACTACACATCTAGACTAGTATCTAGAACAGCCGTGGGCAAACTACGGCCGGCCCGTTTGAAATGAATAAAACTAAAAAAAAAAAAAAGACTGTACCCTTTTATGTAATGATGTTTACTTTGAATTTATATTAGTTCACACAAACACTCCATCCATGCTTTTGTTCCGGCCCTCCGGTCCAGTTTAAGAACCCATTGTGGCCCTCGAGTCAAAAAGTTTGCCCACCCCTGGTCTAGAATAAATAAAAGACTTAAACAGATATTTTACCATAAAAGATGTATGAATGGCAAATAAGCATACGAAGAGATGTTCGTTATTAGCCATGAGAGAAATGCAAATTAAGACCACAATGACATATCCCACACACCTATTAGAACAGCTGAGTTAAAAAAATTGTGGTAACACCAAATGCTGGCAAGGATGTAGGGAAATGATCTCTCATACACACAGTCATGCACATAGTCATCTCTGGCCCATGGCCATGTGCTAGTGCTATGTTCTGAGTGCAATCCAATTATTACATTATATTAATACATTTACTGCTTGTGTGCCTCAGTGAAAGCTGCCCACACTCTCAGCTCTGGGTAGGGCTGTTTTCATGTCCCATTTCTTGAACAGGGTTATGAGAAGTGCAAAATGTCACAAGTCAACTTTTTACTCTCAGTGGAAAATTATTTGATCCTGTGTATGTTGGAGGGGGCAAAAAAAGGACTTATGAAATAGCATTTAAAAAAACATGATTCAATCAGGCTCTGAGCTTCCAGGGTAACTACTGGGTGACCAAATAGGAGCAGGACGTTATCTCAGAGGCCACTGAATGCAAAGATTCCCAACTGTGTGTAGGATAAACCTCCTTTCTTGTTCTTAATCTGCTACACAGAACAAAGATGTCTCGAGTTTCAAGCCAAAAATCTGTAAATTTTCTTCTCTGGATTTATATTACCACAGATGAACTGTTTTCCTTAACATAACTCTTGAGATTCATGCCAAGAAACTGAAATTCTAATAATCCCAAATAAAAAAGACCCTAACACAGCAAGCCTTCTTACAGGCAGTCACAGCACAGTGGTAGTTAAGAGTGTGGACTCTGTGGCCTGGATTCATATCCCAAGTTGTCCACTTCAAGCTTTGTGACATTGGGCAAGTTACTATTCTGTGCCTTGGCATCCCCAACTCTAAAATGAAGACAGTAGTGGTAGCTCCCTTAGAGGAATGTTATGAGAATTACCTTAATATACATGTGGCATCTTAAATGCCACCTGCAGCACAACTGTTAGCTAGTATGTGACTGTCACTGAGAACCCCCACATAGATTGTGTAGATCCCCGCTCTAAGGCTGAGACATGCCAGCCCCCAAATGGGAGAAGTGGCAGTGGCCAAACCCCTGCCTGCCATCAGTATGAAAGTCCCCAACGGGGGAGACTATTCTCTCAAATTCCAGTTTCCTCCCTAACTCCAAGGATGACTGCAAGGTCCTTTTCTCCCCTCGGAGCTAGGTATGCTTGGCAGCTGTCAGTGCCATGTACTCTGCATTCCAGAGAAGGAAACACAAACTAAAAGTCAGCAGAGAACGGAAAAAGCATTGCCGCCTTGTGGCTTTGCAGAGGATTCTTCACGCCTCGGCACTACCCAAGTGTCACCCTCTGCAGACCCAAAACTGAGGCAAGTGACGAGAGCACCTCCAATGATGGAGGGTGCTCACTTAGAGCTGAAGGCTCCCTGGGGGAAATCTGCCAGTGCGCTCTTATTTCCTGTTGTCCTCAGGTCCAAAGACATGAGGGGCTTTCAGACACCAGAGCCAGGGTGGGGCTGCAGGTCTCTTATTCCCTGTTCGTCAGTCCTCATTACCATAGGGTGTTGGAGCTCACCAGCCAAGTTTGGAGTTGACATGCTCTTTTTAAAAAAGCAAACTCAGGTCAGTGCCCCTTCGTTCTGACACAGCAGCAAAACCACAGGCAGGCGACATCCATGAGGCTGCAACCGATGAGGGATCTGCAGGAAATGTCACCTCTTTTGTGCACTCAAGCAAAAAGAGACACAGCAGTTTCCTCCTAAAACAAAACTCTAATTGTGAACATCAAACCTTAATTGCGAAATACCAGACGTTGCCAACAGCAATGTCTACTCTCTCTCCTGCCGCTTTAAGACCTTTTGGATTCTTACCCTAATGTCACTGCTCTAGAAGGTCCAGGTGTTTCTCATTCCTTGTGTTTTTACACCAACAAAAATTTTAACGACATTTTTTTTCTCCCGGAACATTCAATACTCTGAATTTTTATGGTTTTTCTGTTTTAATCTCTCTCAAAAACAAAATTAAAAAAACTGTAAAAACCTTCCAGGCGCTAAGCTAAAGCACATCCTGCATGCCCACAGTGGTGCAGACACAAAACTGGCCTCTGTTTCAAACCAACCTTATATTAAGCCATGACAACATGGGTGTTGTGCCTCCGCCAACGATCCAGACGGTGAAGAAGACAATGAGGAGGGTGGTCGTGAACATCATCTGGCGAGCATAGGATGCTGTGTCTCGGATGGCCAGTGCAAATGCCATTGCTCCCCTGAGGCCTGCAGGGACCGAAGAGGAAGATCTCCTGGTTATAGGGCCAAATGACAGCGTGACCTCAAATCCACTGCTGCCTCTAGGGGCTCATAAACCATATCCACTCGTATTTCCGGAGCCAAGCTGTTTTATTCAGAGAGAAGAACCTTAAAGGAATATCATGTTCTCCTATTTGAAGTTTTCTTTTGCAAAATGTCCAAATGCAATGATAAAAACACTGCACTAACCCAGCCGGTGTGGCTCAGTGGTTGAGCGTCAACCCATGACCCAGGAGGTCACAGTTTGATTCCCAGGCAGAGCACATGCCCGGGTTGCAGGCTCAATCCCTGGTAGGGAGCAAGGCAGCCAATCAATGATTCTCTCTCATCATTGATGTTTCTCTCTCTCTCTCTCTCTCTCTCCCTCCCTCTTCTCTCTGAAATCAATAAAAACATATTTAAAAGAAATACTGCACTAGTTTGTACAGCACATTTTAGAATAAACTCTTTCATTGCTGAAATAATTCTCCTGCTAGTAATATAAAATAAAAAGAAATAAATAAGAAATAATTTAAGCTCTCCAAGTCTGTGATCCAAGCATGACCAATGCACTACACAGTCATTATAAACATCAGAAACATGCTAGATGTGAATATGTCAAATGCTATTTGTGGTTCATGTACTATGAACCACAAAACAGTTCAGCATTTCCCTAGCAAGGCCACACAGAGAAGTAACCATATAACCTGATCTACATCAGGAGTTGGGAACTTTTTCTACAAAAGGTGACAAATATTTTATGCTTTGTAGACCACGAGGAAAAATTAAGGCTGTCATGTAGGTCCTTCTATAAAAGAGAGAAAACAAATTTTCACAACATTTGATTGACGAAAACTAAGAATATAATAATGAGTACAATTCATTCTAATACAGGTCTACTACTGAAAAGAAAGGAATTCCTTGGGGGGTTGCTTATTTGGGGTTCAAAGTTATAAACTTTCACCTGTGAAAGCCATTCTGAGCCCTCTGGGTATATGAACACAGGCAACAGCCAGATTTGGCCCAGGCACCAATGTGCTGACCCTGATAATCTACATTAATGGGTATAAAGATTAAGCCTTTAACATTTTAATGTTTATCTTTCTAAGTTCTTTTGTTCCTTCCCCATACCATGCTCATAATTTGTTCTATAGTTAAGACTGAACCCATGGTCTTTAACACATATGTAGTATAAATTCCTATTCACCATGAGCAAGATTGTGAAAGTTATGCCCACTGTATCTGTTTGTAGATTTTCCCACCTTTTCCAATCATTTCACAATTAATCTGAGAACTTCACTACAATTTACTAAAAGAGTGACTCCACAAAAGTTACATAAAAACTGAGGAAAGTTAATGTTTCCTATTAATCTGTGCTAGTGAAATATCTATACAAATCTATGTTGCCCTATAAGTCAGTTATGTCATTGATCAATGGATCAATATTTAAGCCTCTAAAGAGATGTTATCTCAAAGAAGAAAACTTGGAGGATCAGAAAGAGACAATGTGTGCTATATTTTTCTTACTTTTATTAGGTAAACACTGTAAGCAATATGAAAGTGAAGCCTCAGGTAGGTCATGGTCTTGAAGAGTGAGTCCTCCCAGCAGAAACTCATTTTTATAGGAGATATCTTTAAACAGCGCTGTGTACTTCTTTTAGTGCAGAAGGTAAAGCACATATTTTAAGTTCATCTAGGTGAGTGAGTTATGTCCAGTTCATTTTTCTCTTTCTACCACCACCTTCCTAATATGTGAGGAGCATCTTGTCACTGTCCTCCTCAGAGACCTCTAATGGTTCCCAGCTCCTATATAAACCCAAAGTGGCACAGCACTGCAGCTTCCCTGTGGTCCTCCAAGTGTGGTCCTCAAACCAGCAGCAGCAGAGGACACGTTAGGAATTCAAATTCTCGAGGCCGCCCTGTACCCTCTGCTTTAACCAACCCAACAGGGGATTCCAACACAACCTAAAGGTTCATACCACTTTACATGTCATTTTCCTTTCCAACCTCACCTCCTTTCTGCATTACCCCATGTGTCTTACAGATCTTGCCTTTCCAACCTGCTGCCTCCTGAAATCCATTTCTTCCCAGTTCAGTTCACAGGTTACCCCTTTGTAAAGATGGCCCTGGTCCCTCCTCTCTTCCTCATTTATTTCTACCTCTTTTGTGCAATTCACCCCCTTCTCTTCAGAGAAAACACGTTGTACACGTGCCCCCCCCCACCCCAGCAGACTGTGAGCTCCTTGCAGGAGGCTGGTTTCTGTATCCTCCACAACCTAACTGTGGCTTATAAAAAGAGAACGCTCAACAAACATTTGTCAGAGTGAAAGGAAATCATTATCGCAGGCTGTACATTTAAGGGCAGATGCAAATGAGTCCTAGACAGTGACTGCTTTGCTGAACAGTGCTAGTTGGTGTGGTTTCAGTATGACTCTCTGAGGCCCCCAAGAACTACTGCATGGTGTTAAAGGGCAGCTACTCACTTTGCCTCTTGTACAGCCTCTTCCAACCCCCCCCCCGCCCCCGCCACATGACAGAAGTAACCCTAAGGGTCACAGTAGCCTTTTGCGCTACCATTTCCTTCCTGTGCTCTGCAGAAATGCTCTAACTTGGGTCTCATTTATCAACTCTGACCCTTACCACCATCTACCCATGCCAATTGTTCTCTCCTTCCATTATCTCCACATAGTTCCTTATTGTCCTTTACCTTCTCAGTGGCTTCTCCATACTTCCTAGCTTTACAGTGAAGAGTGGGGGGCATCTGGGAGACAGTGTGAATGAGCTGGGGTTCATCTTTCTTATGAGTGTATTTTATTTCTTTTGCTCCATAGAAAGTCAGAGTTAGGAGGAACTTCAGTTCAATTTCATTATTTTACAAGAGAGGATACTGCAACTGGGGTGGAGATGTTGAGTGACATGGCCCATATTCTTTCTCATTAAAACCTATTTTACTTATAATTTTAGATCTGGAGCCCTTCTTGAAGATTAAGGGTTATGAACAATCCACTAGAGAACACTTAAGCACTTTCAATTCATACCTCCAGGCCCTTTGGGTGATAGAGATGAAATAAAGATGCAAATATTTTAGGGGATAATGTTCACATTTGGTAGTAGAGTTTGCAAAGTCAGTATTAAGTCAGTTTACCTTGTACATCTGTCTACTCAGCACCACAGGGGATACAAAAGACCCAGAAACTTTAATCTTTCTCTTTTTATGAACCTTGTCAATACTTTAATGCTGCCTGCTTCGTAACACCCATTTTCTTGACATTTATACTGTCTTACCTGAAAACATCATCATGTGTTGAAAATTCCAGCCAATCTTATGTCTTCTGCCCAAGTTGAGAAAGAAGGAGAGTGGGTAGATATGTGCAGCTCTGCCCAGAAAGATGGCAACCTGAGCACCAGGTGGAGGTTAAGGGTCCAACAGGTTTCCAGAATGCCACCATCACAACCTCTGGGTGAACAGAGAATGTCAGGAATGCTGTGACATCTCATTGTCATCAGGAGAATTGCACAAAGGAGCCAGGCTGTCTAGTTTCCCTTAAAAGAGTCTCCAAAACAAGTGGCATTCAATTGACCAACTTTCCCAACCTCCTGGCCCATTCCTAGCACATTAAATGCACCGTTGTAAATGCCTGATTTCATTATGCTGCTATGATCAATACAGTCTATCTTAAAATGAGTCCAGAAATAAGCAAAGGTCCCATGGAAGGGGTGGGGAGCTGAGAGGAGGAAACAGTGTGTTGGGGTCTTTTGGAAGAAAACCCACAAGAAGAAAGAATTACTAACGTCTGAGTCAAACTATGAAGACAAAGTTTGCTGAGTAAGCTCATAAGCTGTGGTTGGAAGTGAACACCAGGGCCCTGAATGACCAGGAAGATCTACCGACAAGAGGTGGGAAAACTTAAAGCATTCATAATCCTAAGACAGCCCTCACTGGTTGCTCAGTGGTTAGAGTGTCAGACTGAAAGGTCTCAGGTTCGATTCCAGTCAAGGGCATGTACCTCGGTTGCCATGCTCGATCCCTGGCCCTGGTTGGGGTTGGGACACGTGCAGGAGGCAACCAATCGATGTGTCTCTCTCACATCAATGTTTCTCTCTCTCCCTCTCCCTCCCTTCTACTCTCTAAAAATCAATGGAAAAAATATCCTCAGGTGAGGATTCACGAAAGAACAACAGAAAACCCCACATAATACTAAGACACATTCATGTTCCTCACAAGAATCAACCTGGGAAGACTTTTCCACTTCAGTAGCTGAAATGTCTTTCAGAGATAGGAGAAATGGAAAACGAAGTGTGGAAGAGGAACTGTACTGTGGAAAGCAAAGAATTCAGGGAAACCAGTCATTCGTCACTTGCTGAATTTAGAACAGAGCCCAACAGAGAGCTCAACAGAGAGTGCACACAGCCCCCATCACAGAAGGAAAGCACCGTGGGAGCCAGAGGAACAGGAAGCTTCCGTTTCGGCAAAGCACCAGCTGCCACAGCTGCAGCTGTTTCAGACACAAGCACGGGCAGAACTATCTTCTGCCTTCTCCGGGGTAAAACACCGACTAAAATTTTCTTCTTTTGTGTTTTGTTTTGAACAAAAGGGAAACAGGTAGTGCTTATAAAGCCCATTCTACTCCAGAAGCCATGCAGAAGTCCTCCCTGGTAAGCAGCCTTCAGGATTCACAGAGGACCTGGCTGGCCCTCCTCCAGGGTCCTCATCTGTAAACAAGGGCTGGGCTCGCACTATCTCTCACAGGATGCCGTGCTAGGAATACAAATCAAAATGGCATGCAAGGTCTTTCCTCATCAAGAAAAACAACACTGATCCCTCAGACTTTTAGCTGTTGGATTCTTAAAATATATTTTGATTGATTTCAGAGAGGCAAGGAGAGGGAGAGAGAGATAGAAACATCAATGATGAGAGAGAATCAATGATCATGTGCTCCTGCACGCCCCCTACTGGGGATCGAGCCCGCAACCTGGGCATACGCCCTGATGGGGAATCAAACCAGGTCCTCCTGATTCATGGGTTGATGCTCAACCACTGAGCTACACAGGCTGGGCTCGCTGTTAGTTTTTTTGACAGTCAATCCAAGAAATGAACCCCAATGGAAGCAGTGCAAGGATTCTGGTGTAGCATTAGACCATCACCACCATCTAGCTGCTTGCTGAGTATCACTTATTCCTGCACAAGAAATAAAAACTGAGAAGAAAAAAAAAGGCTTCAAATAGATACAGAGGCAGAGCTGCCTCGAACAGACTGTCAAACTACAGCGGGAAGACCGGGGAGGGTTGGGGGGCTGTAGGGGGGTGGGTAAGAGATCAACTGAAGGACTTGTATGCATGCATATAAGCATAACCAATGGACATAAGACACTGCAGGGTAGGGGAGGCCAGCGGATGTAATACTCTTTGTAATACTTTAAGCAATAATAATAAAAAAGGCTTCTTTTTTGCCAGCATCCCAAGACCTAAGGATATCCATGAGGCCTTGGAAAAAGCAAAAGTGAATGCCCAGCAATAGAGAACTCCTGCTTGGGATCTGGCAGTCCAGGCTGAGCCAGAATGCTACAGTTCCAAGCCTCAGAAAAGTTCACTTGAATGAAAACAGCAGGGTCTGAGGCCAAGTGAGAAAAGCCCTCAGCTGTTGATCTACTGCTAGGTATTCACATCCCTCCTCACTTGAGAGAAGCTAACCCTCAAAACTGTGTCTCTCTTCCAGAAAACGGCGCTCCCAGTACAACTAAATGAAGGACCCCAGTGTTTTTCCATTTGGTGTTTCCTTCCTCTCCCTTTCCTCTTTCTGGGGGAAAAAAGTCTTTTCCACGATGATATGTTAAGCTTGGGCAAAAGCGTGCTTATTGCCTACAAGCTCCCCTGAGCTGCCTGGAAGGGCTGCCATACCGGTGTGCAGTCAAGAGCAAGAGTAACAACCTTCGGGTTTTCCAAACGGGGAACCTCCCGGATTGGAATTCACTTGGCAAAGAAATAAAAATAGTTCTGGGAACAGACATGGTTGCCTACTGTTAGACCTGCTAAGAAGGGCTCTTTACAAAACAAACTGCAGCCTGCCAAGCACAAGTGTAACAGAAAGGCCATCTTACACAGAAAATGCAGAAATCCACGCCAGTCCTTGAAATCAAACACATTCAGCTTTATGAACCTCGTAAGCCTTCTTTTTTCTCATCATAAAAATACCTGAACTCACACTGGCTCAGCCACCCACCGCGAACAGACATTATTACTGTAGCTTCCTCAGCAATGGTGACGTTTCTGTCTAGAAAATTGTGGAACTGGAAAAAAAAAAGGATACGAAAGCTCCAATGATGAAAATGGGGCTGAAGACGTGCTTCTGGAAGGTAAACAGCGCCAGGCCCATGTAGGAGAAGATGAAATTCTCTGCCAAGAAGTGTAACACCTCAAAGAGCTGCGGGGAGAGGGAAAGGGGAGCATTAGACCTGCGGGTCCCCTCCCCTTGTCGTCACAGGGAACTTGTGAGGACCCAGGGCTCGGGCTCACCTGCTTCGTTCGACTTCTTGATTCCACCGACAGGTTGTTGTAGGTGTAGTGGGCTTGTGTGATTCCACAGAAAAGGACAGCTACCACACCTAGCAGGAGAGTGTGGGTTTGTTTTTTAAAGCCAAGGAATCAAAGACAGCAGGAAAAAATCCCTGGCGAAACCCAAAGTGAAGATAGGCAAGCCCAGCAGCCCCAAGCCGCTGCTCTTGAAGAATTCTTCCCTCCCGCCAAGCTCCCAGATACAGTGAGGGAAATGGTGGCCCCAGGGCAGAGAAAACCCACCTGTAAACCCGCAGGCTTCTGCCAGGAGGAAGGTGCTCCAGGACATGAGGAAGAACAGCGCGGTCTCCAGCAGGGGGAAGCAGTGCAGCTTGGTAAACTTGGTCACGTCAGCCCGTCAAGGAACTCATCTCCAGGAACACATACCAGAGTCACCAAGAACCGCATTCTATTAGCCCAGGATCCTCTTCCTAGGGGCCTTCCTTTCCCCTCAGCTCTTCTTTTGGGGGCCCCAAAGGTGCTGCTTGCTTTTGAAAGGAAGAAAAATCAAGCTTCCCAGGAGAATAGAGGTTACGAAGGGCTGGGAAAGGGGGAGGATCCTGTTTAATGAGTACCCAGGTTCTGTTTGGAATGATGAAAAAGTTCTGGAAGGAGATAGTGGGGCTAGTTACACAACATTGTGGTTGTACTTAATGTCACCGAAATGTACACTTAAAATAGCTATAAGGGCCAATTTTATGTTATATACATTTTACCACAATTTCAAAAAAAATGAGTAATGTCTGGGGGGATGGGGGTAATGTGGAGATAAGGACACATATAACTTAATCAATAAAAAAATTTTTAAAAAATGAGTAATGTCAAATCCCAAACACCATCGAGGTAGGGGAGGGGAGGGGTAAGGGGGGAGATCAACCCCAAAAGACTTGTATGCATGCACATAAGCTAACCAATGGACACAGACACTAGGGGGGTGAGAATGTGGGGATCAGGACACATGTGTAATAACTTAATCATTAAAAAAACATTCATAAGTCACATGGGCCAGCCAATAAAAAAATTAACAAAAAAAAGGGGGAATTGCACAGTGTGAATTTGATCTCAATAAAGCTGTTTTTGTTTTGAAATTAAGCTTTCTAAAGAAACTGCAAATGTGTTTTCTGTGCCCCTCACAATGCTCATGGCTCTGAAAGGCTCAGTCATGGCCTGAGGTGTCTGTCAGGTTAGATCTGACAGTGGGGGGAGTGCCTAGGGATGGATTGGGAAGATGATGCTGTGAGACCTTGATTTCTGCAGGGCAGAGCTAAGCCTAGAGTTACACCGCAAACATTTCCTCATCCCCTTAGCTAGGCACTCAACTGTCATGTGTTTTTTTAATGTTTTTATTGATTTCAGAGAGAGGAAGGGAGAGGGAGAAGAGTGTCAGAAACATCAATGATGACAGAGAATCACTGATCAGCTGCCTCCTGCACACCCCCTACTGGGGATGGAGCCCACAACCCAGGCATGTGCCCTGACTGGGAACTGAACCATGACTTCCTAGTTCAGTGATGGCGAACCTTTTGAGCTCGGCGTGTCAGCATTTTGAAAAACCCTAACTTAACTCTGGTGCCGAGTCACATATAGAAATTTTTTGATATTTGCAACCATAGTAAAACAAAGACTTATATTTTTGATATTTATTTTATATATTTAAATGCCATTTAACAAAGAAAAATCAACCAAAAAAATGAGTTCACGTGTCACCTCTGACACGCGTGTCATAGGTTCGCCATCACTGTCCTAGTTCATGAGTCAATGCTCAACCACTGAGCCACGCCAGCTGGGCTCGACTGTCATGTTTTACCAAAGTGACATTTCAGGAGCCCCCAAACCCCGGTGGAACAATAGATGTAAGACTCTTTTCTGAAAGGAGGAACTGACAACTTTCTTTTTGCAAGTGTAACATCACACAATCATACCCAGGCAGGGGCAGAAAGTACAAAAAGGATATTAGAGCGGTCACAACACCAGTCACAGCTCCCATGGTAAAAGAGCCACTAAATATACCTAGAAAAATGCCAACTGACTTAAAAAAGGCAGCAGCATCAAAGGCGTGAGTATTCAGCCCTGCTGGCTGGTAGGCAACAATAGACCTGGAGTTTAAAAAGAAGAAAAAAATGTTAAAAGACTGCGCTGGCTTTACACCATGGTACCAAAAACTATCAACAAACATGGTATGTACAGTCCACCAGGCACTCCCTATGGCAGTGGTTCTCAACCTTCTGGCCCTTTAAATACAGTTCCTCATGTTGTGACCCAACCATAAAATTATTTTCATTGCTACTTCATCACTGTCATGTTGCTACTGTGATGAATCGTCATGTAAATATCTGATAGGCAGGATGGTCTTAGGCAACCCCTGTGAAACGGTCGTTCGACCGCCAAGGGGTCGCGACCCACAGGTTGAGAACCGCTGCCCTAGGGTGTCTTCATTGAACTTAATCTGCAGTCACCATGCTACGCTGGTACAACATTCTGATTGCTGACGACTGGACAAAGCAGTGTAACATTATCCATCAAGCTGAGAAACCTCATTTAGAAAAACACCCAATTCAATAATTTAACACTTTTCAGACGGGCCTCTGAGCATTCAGGAAGCCAGTCTCTCTTCCCCGGGCAGACATAGTGTTACTTACGAGGACAGCACAATGGCAACAGCATCATTTAGGACGCTTTCTCCAAACAGAAGTGCATAGAGGTCCACGTCTGCATGTAACTCATTAAATATCGCCAGTACAGTGACTAAAAAGTGAGCAAAAGCACATCAGTTAGTTTCTGTTTCTAACCTTAAGCCATCGATGACAAATTTATAGAAGCAATTCTTATGTTCAGTGGGACAGGGCAGTTTGGAGTCAACGGCGCGTTGTCTGTCTATGGCAGAAGTGAGGATGGCAATCTTCCTAATCAGGATGAGTGGTGAGATGATGCTGGATTATAATAACACTGCACTGAAACACTGCCCTTTCCACTGGAAGCCTGTCACACTTTGAAACAACCTCTATTACAGAACTTTAAAATACATAATCACAATTGCCCGGCCAGCGTGGCTCAGTGGTTGAGCGTTGACCTATGAACCAGGAGGTCAGGGATCGATTCCCGGTCAGGGCACATGCCCGGGTTACAGGCTCGATCCCCAGTAGGGGTCATGCAGGAGGCAGAAGATCTATGATTCTCTCTCATCATTGATGTTTCTCTCTCTCCCTCTCCCTTCCTCTCTGAAATCAATAAAAATATATTTTTAAAAAGTGCATAATCACAATGAATACGATTCGGCTCTACCATTGGGCAGAAACGTTATTTTATTGACCACTGTGCTCCCAGAGCCCAGCAGAGGGTTAGGGAGCAAGAGAAGGCTTTAATGACGATTTCTAAAATAAGTCTTTGTTTAGGACAGACTATACGTAATTACACTTCTCATAGTATCCATATTTCTTAAGTGTTTAAAAATCAGCTAGTCTCCAGACCAGCAGTTCTCAAACTTTTGGCTTCGGGACACCTTTACACTCTGAAAAATCATTGAGGCCCCAAAAGAGCTTTAGTTTTATAAGCTACCAATATATACTGCATTGAGTAAAGCAGAAAAAAATAAATATGTATTCATTTAAAATTACTAATAAACCTATTATGTGATTACATATTTTAATAGAAAGCAATTATATTTTCCAAACAAAAAAAATAGTGAGAAGAGAGCCATTGTTTCATATTTTTTCACACCTTTTAAAATCTTGATTAATGTAAGACAGATGGTTCTTATCTCTGTTTCTGCATTTGATCAAAAGACAGTCAATATCACACGTTAATACAGCCTCAGGAAAAACCCAATTCACTGTATACTTGTTAAAGAATGAAAGTTAAAATGACTACAAACATATTACTATGATTATTAAATCAGTGTTGACCTGAAAGGGGTTTGGACTTTCTCAACTTTGGTTCCATTGACATTTGGGACTAGAAAATTCTTTGTTGTGAGGGGCTGCCTTGTGCATTGTAGGACAGCTAGCAGCATCCCTGGTCTCTACCCACAAGACAGAGTAGCACTGTGCACTGAGCATCTGGATGCCTGATTGTAGTAGGAGCCTGGGCACCAGCTCAGGACTGTTAGCCAAGATAAACAGCTATTTGTTTAAGCTGGTATTGCCAGGTTTTTCTGTTATTTGCAGCCAAAAGCATCACAAACTGATACAATTAGAAAAATAAACCAAACAAATGTGTAGCTTAGTGAATTATAAGCCAAAGCACTCATATAACCATCATCCAGTTCAAGAAATGGAACTTCGCCAGCTCCACAGAACTCCCCCGTATGCTTCATCCCAATCTCAAACTCTTCCTTCACTCAAAAGTAACAACCATTAACCTGATTTTATAGTAATCGCTTCCTTTCATTTCCTTATAGTTTGGCCACCCAATGTGTATTCCCTGACACTATCGTTTGGTTTTGCCCACTTTAACATTTATTTTTTAAAATATGTACTTTTTAACATCTCTTTCACTTCACGGGTCCCCCCTCCATTGCTTTTGTCTGACTCCCTTTTCATGATGTCCTATTGTTTAGTCCTCTCACTTTTAAATTTTCTAATAATGATATACACAGTTCTTTCATAACTTCTATCATTTTTTAAAATTTCCTTTAGGTTCTGTTGAAATATTAATAACGTTTTGTCTGCCTTGGGACCCTAGTTTTCTGGTATGACTCCACTTTCTGTAACTTGATTATTCAGAATGATTACCTTCATTTTTCTGATTATAATATGTTTGCAAGAAGTTCAACCTCAATCCATTTCTGCTCCTCATATTAAGTCAGAGGTAGGAGGCCCAGAGTAGATTTCCTTGTTTCATGGCTCTCGGGCTCCCTCTTCTGGTTTTACATTGAAGTATTAAAAACATGGCCTTTGGGTGTAGCCACATCCCCAGCACTCAGATCTACTTAATCTGCTCTCCTCCTCCACTTTCTTAGCTTTCTTTCTCCTTCAAAGCCCCATCAATCGAGGTCCATGGTCCTAGCAGTTCATGTATAGGGAGTGGCTTCCAGATAGATCTTCCCTGGGTATTTTCTGAGAGCCCTGGAGGCTCAGGTCTCTCCAGAAGTCTCACACCTCCTCTAGTCTCCTTGCCTGCCCACACCCACCAACTGAAGCCCATAAAGTCCCTCCCAGTTTTACTGTTGTTATCTAACATGCCTATGAAGTTGTTTACTCCCAGTGGGGACCTCTCATTTTGAGTGTGAATACTTGTGGGAAATTTCTGGGTTCCCTGACAGTTAAAATGACCAGCAGCCCCCTCTTTTCCCCTCTGCTTCCTCAGCACATCTGCTGCTTCTAGCTCTAAGTCTCACTTCTGCTGCTGGTTTTACCCCACCAATGGGTAGTTGTGAATTCATGAGGCTACTCTGTCAGGTAGCTGTGTAATGTGGGTGAGACACATCCAGTCTGTTAAAGGCTTGACTAGAACAAAAAGACAGTAATGGAGAACTCAATCATCTCTCTGCCTAGCTGTCTTTCAGCTGGGATGTCAGTCTCCTCCTACCTTTGGACTTGGACTGGAACTATAGCATTGGCTTTCCTGGTTCTTAGGATTTAGGACTGCTGATCTTGGGACTTCTCAGCCTCCATAATTGCATGAGTCAATTCCTTATAATTTCTCAATTTCAATCTCTTTCTCTCTCTCTCTCTCTTACACACACATACACACACACACACACACACACATACACACACACACACACACACACACACCACATACATCTCCTATTTGCTCTGTTTGCCTGAAGAACCCCAACTAATACAAAACTCTACTAGCTTATCATTACCGTTGACCCTTAAACAATGTGGGGTTGGGGTGCTGACCCCCTTGCACAGTCGAAAATCCATATAATTTTTGTCTCCCTCAAAACTTAGTTGTCCCTCAGTATCCACAGGGAATTGGTTCCAAATCCCCTGTGAATATCCAAATCCGAAGATGCTCAAATCCCCTATATGATGGAGTAGATCAGTGCCTTCCACATCTGCAGACTCCCAACTGTGGACTGAAAATAGTACAAGTATTTATTGAAAAAACCACGCATGTAAGTGGACCCATGCAGTTCAAACCTGTGTTGTTCAAGGGCCAACTGTATATGACAAAAGAATTGTCTTGTTTTTAACCCAATGTCGAAGAAAAGTTAACAACGATAATAACAATTATTAAGGATTTACCATGAAGCAGGCACTATGCTAAACATTTTACAATCTCACTTAGTCCTCATAAAAGCCTGTGGGTAGCACTATCATTTCTCCCAACTTAGAGAAAATAAATCAGGCCTTGTATAATGGGCCACCTTCTACTGCAATATCAAAATTCCTAAGCTTGGCCAGTGTGGCTCAGTGGTTGAGCATTGATCCATGAACCAGGAAGGTCATGGTTCAATTCCTGGTCAGGACACATGCCTGGGTTGTGGGCTCAATCCCCAGTAAGGATCATGCAGGAGGCAGCCAATCAATGATTCTCTCTCATCATGGATGTTTCTCTCTCTCCCCTCCCTTCCTCTCCGCAATCAATTAAAAACACATATTTTTTAAAATTTCCTAAAACCTCAGCAGTTGAACCCAAGAATAGTTTTATCCATTACTCATACAACATGTCCACTGAGTGCTGGCACCGGAGGCCTCTGTTCACATCAGTCACTCAGGGACTCAAGACTGATGGAGGCTAATCTCCACAAACAGAACACAGGGCTGACAGCCCAGGAGATCTGGGTCCCAGGACTTTATGAGTCAGGGTCCTGGCAGGAAACAGATGGCACACCCTCAAATTGAGCAATTTGAGGAGTGTTTAATAAGGGATTATTTATAGAAGTGTGGGGAAAGTACAGGAAAGCCACAAGGGAGAGGGCAGCACTTGAGGCTAAAACAGGGAGCTTTATACCACCCCTAGGCCGGAAGGGGCCAGAGAAGGAATGATTGTCAGACCAGGAACTCTACAGAGATGGTCACCTGACAGGAGCTATGACCTTTGATCAAGGGACGCAGCCAGACCTCAGGGACCCTGAATTTCCACCTTCCTTCCATCTTCACACTAGTGATCCCCTGTGGATGAATCCAACGGGAAACCAGAGGGCAAAGGAACTCTGAACTCTTCCATACAAGTCAGCCGCTTGGCATGGAGAAGAAAGTAGAGAAGGGTGGCGAGTAACTCTAGAGGGGCACACAGAGGCATCCAACACAGCCACCCACTAGCTATGAGAACTCAGCACACAGCAAAGTCTAAAGATTTTAGCCAAGTGAGGGTTTGAGCTACATGATTTTCAAAAGCTCTTCTGACTTTACTATTTTCCTGAAATACTACAGTTACCAGTAGTTAAAAAAGTATAGTTAACTCATATATCCATGACAATGAAGGCTAGCTTGCATAATTAAAACAATTAACATTTATATAGCACTGATCTGAATCTGACTGCTCTGAATTTTTATTTCTCATTCCTCCCGCCAATCACCTTATAAAACAGGACAGAGCCAGGCCGATGTGGGTCAGCGGTTGTGTGTAGACACATGAACCAAGAGGTCACAAGATCCATTCTCTGTCAGGACACATGCCTGGGTTGCGGGCTCGATCCCCAGTAGGTAGCATGCAGGAGGCAGCCGATCAATGATTCTCTCTCATCATGGATGTTTCTCTCTCTCTATCCCTCTCCCTTCCTCTCTCTCTAAAATCAATAAAAACATATTTTTTAAAAGAAAAAAACAGAACAGGAACTCTGCCCATTCCCCCCACCCCTGGGCAAGGCTGAGCCCAACCAAGATTAGGAATATGAGTGCTAACACCAGGAAGATGACTGGGGGGAGGGGATGGAAGACTGGGTAAGTGACTTCTAAAATGGGGAGTAAACAGACTCTTCCACCCCCAGCAGGACCTTTGGAATCAGAGAACAGGGTCACATCAGCTGTTTCCAACTGGATAAGAACAGAGAAATTACAATGAACTGACTGATGACTGCTGGTACAGCTATCTAAAAAGCACGGGGGGGGGGGAGGGAGATAATAAAATAGCAGATAGGGGAAGAAGGAAATATCAAGAGCCTTAATTTGTTCATTCAACTAACTTTCCCTGAACACTTCATCTGTGTACTAAAGAGCACTTAGCACTTGCGAACATTCAGTACAAAGAGGTAAGAATTGTGTACAAAGTAGACGACTTAGGAGCTATGGGAGCAAGTAACTGAAAGAATTAGAGAAGAAGAACTAGGCAGGTGGCAGATTTGAACTGAGTCAAAAAAGGATAAAAGAAATACTGACCAGCCCTGGCTGGTTTGGCTCAGCAGATAGAGTGTCAGCCTGTGGACTGAAGGGTCCCAGGTTCAATTCTGGTCAAGGGCACATGCCCAGGTTGCGGGCTTGATCCCCAATAGGGGGTGAGCAGGAGGCAGCCAATCAATGATTCTCATCATTAATGATGTTTCTATCTCTCCCTCTTCCTTCCTCTCTGAAATCAATAAAAAATGTATTTTTTTTAAAAAAAGAAATACTGACCAGCCTGAGGGATGCCACTAGAGAATTACACTTTGACACCAATCATAGATTTTAAAACCTGTGAGTAGGCTTGATTGACTCGAGGGGTATAAAAATGACAAAATTAAAATGAGAGGAGTCACTTCATAATGGTTCATAAGAAGGAATAGCATTCATTTTCTTTGGTAGCTGCCTAAGAATACACTATGGATTGGAAATTTCATTTTCTTTCCTGAACTGTGGATCCATCTAAAGTAATAGTCCACAAAGATGGCACATGGCACCCATGACATATAACCACAGAATGGAGAGGGCTCCTGGTCACAGAGCAGCTTCCACCATTCCACCCATGTGGTATCCTCTTCAATAGGAAGACCAAAGACTGGTGTCTCAAGCCAAGTAGAGTAATCAGAGACAAAGACTTTTATTCTTTCATATCAGTCAATACCACTACATATATCCCAATGCCAGAAGTTTTGTTTGATGTACCAGACACAAGAAGTCAATTTGGTCTTATGGTCCCCTCTAACTCTATACTTTAGTTTTTACTTGATGGTCCGAGTTTTCAAACTGACTTTTGGGAAGCTGGTGAAACACCTTTAATTTTAAAAAACATTCTACATTTCAGAAAGATTTCCATTAAAAAGCAGTTAATGTCCTCATGTTTATTAAGATTTCACTTTCCATTTCCTAGAACTTTCAATTTATATTAAACCCTTACTATGCCAATCTTCATAGGCAAAAAAAAAAGGGTGTACCATGGAAATGTCTGCTATTATTTTCCACCACAGGATGGACACAGTAAAGTGGCACAAACAATTACAAAGATAATCTGGAAAAATAAGCCTTTTTATCCAATTAAATGAAGCAACACTAATAGCTCAGAAAACATAATTTCAGTAATCTTTATGTTACACTAACCTCCCTTTGCTTGTTGGTGATACTAATATATTTTCAGAGAAACAAAGACCTTTCCTAGACTTATGACGAATCTATTTCATTTTTAAAAATATTTTTATTGATTTCAGAGAGGAAGGGAGAGGGAGAGAGAGATAGAAAACATCAACGATGAGAGAGAATCATAGATCAGCTGCCTCCTGCACGCCCCACAGTGGGGGGGATCAAGCCAACCTGGGCATGTTCCCTGACTGAGAACAAACCATGACCTCCTGGTTTATAGGTTGACGCTCAACCACTGAGCCATATCAACTAAGCAGGAATCTATTTCTTAATAGACACGTTTGGAGATAGTCACAGACATTACAGTATTAAAATAATAAAGCCACTTTCAGAGTGCTCTTTAGAAATGTGCTGGGGTTAAGAGATGACCTGTTATTTATTTTTTAAAAAGCACACGAGGAAAACAGAGAAATCTCTGCCTGATTCAGATGTGGCTAGAGACCAATATAATTAGCAGGTGCTATGCTCATGCTTTACATGTGTTATGTCATTTAATCTTCACAATAGCAGTAAAAAATAGGTACCATTATTCCTACTTCATAAATGAGGAAACTGACATGGAACTGATAGGCCACCAGCTCAGTGACTGACAGGGCTTCATTGAAAACCTCTGCCTACAACTCCACATCCCACATTCTTTACACAAACAAGGGTGCTTCAACCAACCAACTCTTCAATACAGATACTTACTGGTAGAGTGTTGGGAATAAAATATGGTGATAAGAGGGTCAATGGTTTGGGGAACATTGAGATTTTTCAGAACCACATAACTGTCTAGAGCTGTGCTATCCACGTGTGGCTACTTAAATTTAAATTACAAAATAAAATTTAAAATTCAGTTCTTCAGTTGCACTATCACATTTCAAAAAAGCCACATGTGACTACTGGCTACCACAATGGACTGGGAAGGTTACAGAACATTTCTACCGTCACACAAAGGTCCATGGATAGCACTGATCTAGAGAACCCCCAAGAGGCATGGTGAAGTAGGAGGGGAATTTTCTGTCCAGAATGTTAGAGGACATCATAGACCTTTCCATCCCCACTATTAGGACAGGATCAGCTTTTTCTCCGTAAATTCTTTCCCTAAAGTGTACCCTCAATAGTTGACATTAAAGGAAGGAATAGCTGTAACTATTTTATGCAAACTGATTTAATTATGGGTTCTGACTTGGAGAAGAGAGGTTGTCTTGTTTTATTTTGCTTGTTTGTTTTTGAGCTGCAGGGGAGGAAAGACATATAATAAGAACTGGTGTAACTCTTAAGAATTGGTTTAACTGATTCTAGACTTGAAAAATACAAGGTAAGAAATTTATGTATAAGAACTACATCACAATGTGAAGTCATGCAGGAACATTGCACGAAAGGAGTTTACAAATTAAATTACATTCACTACAGGTATCGTATACATTTCACGAAGAATAACTGTTATTTAAACCAAATGATACGTTTCCTGAAAGGCAAAAGCACAGCACTGAAAAAGAAGGTAGTCTATGTATAAAAATTATGAACAAACTGGACATTCTCAAATGAAAGACAAAAAGGTAATACAGGTGAAAGCAACCCAAGTGTCCATTGGCAGATGGACCGCTAAACAAAATCCATATAATGGAATATTATTTGGGCTTTAAAAGGAAGGAAATTCTGGTACATGCTATAACATGGATGAACCTCGAAGATGTTATGTGAAGTGAAATAAGCCAGTCACAAAAAGACAAATACTGTATGATTCCACGTATATGAGGTACTTAGAGTAGTGCAACTCACAGAAACAGAAAGTGGAATGGTGGTTTGCCAGGGACTGGGGGAGGAGGAAATGGGAAGTTGTTTAATGGGAAGTTTTAAGTTTCAGTTTTACAAGATGAGAAAGTTCTGGAGGTTGGTTAGACAACAATGTGAATACATTTAACACTACTGAATTGTACACTTAAAAAATAGTTAAAATGGTATATTTTGTTCTGTGTTTTATCGCAATTAATTGGAATAAGAACAATAGGGAAAAGTCATCTCTGTTAGACCACTTAGTGGTCTCTTTCTCCACCATTCCACGTTAATACTACAGTCTCCCTACTGCAACAAAAGTTCATGATTACTCTGAGCTTTTTAAGATTTAAATAATGAAATGTCATAATGAAAATGCCAAGTATGCAAATACCTGGGTCAGTGGCAGAGATAATTGCTCCAAAAAAGAGACAATCTGTGTAGTAAAATTTATCCGAAAGCTGTCCCACCATCTTCATGAGCTTCACTACACCATACATGAGATTTCTGTAAGGAGGGAAGACAAACTATGTCAGAGAGAAAATTAAAGAGAACTCTCTTAAATGAGAAACCGAGCAAATATGCAAGCAGAGTAGTACTAGAATATTGTACTTCAAGAGTCATGAAAACATCAGGCAGCTGCTGTGGTTGGACACTTACCAGGAACATGTGCAATACGACTTTGGCACCAAGTAATTATTTGCAGTTAATGTCATCTTGCTGAAACATTTGAACATACCATTTGTTAAAGTTGTGCTTATTTACAATTATAAAGTATGCTCCTCAATTAGCAACAAAGGCATCTTAAGCAATTGAGTAATAGAGAAGAAAGAAAGAGAAAGAACCCTGCATAATATGTAATAAATTGCCATAAAACTCACAGGATTCTAAGATAGTATGTTTAAAGTCATGGAAATGAGTAGACTGGATGAAGCTGGAGAGGAAAAAAATGGGTTAGCTACAAAGATTCAAGTGATCAATCTTTTCCGCCAAGAATTATTTCAAAGACGGGAAAAGAGGCACAACTCTCTAAATATCCAATTAAAATATCAGTGTACCCATTGGCATATCTGGCATTCCATTCGTTGCATGGGTTTGGCAGGCCAGCAGGAGCCCTCCTTATGCTACAGAATGTGCGACCCAAAAGGGACCACCAAGTTCAGTATTACATTTCCAACAGGACAGCTTACAAATTAGGATGAGTGAGGAGTGTTAAAAGGCCTAGTTCTCTCTCTCTCTCTCTCTCTCTCTCTCTCTCTCTCTCTCTCTCTCTCTCCCCTTCCCCTCTCTCTAAAATCAATAAGCATGTGACAGGAATAAAAATAACCACAGAATAGGCTCATTGTACCATAAAGCCAATCCTCTGATAATAAAATTCTTGATAGTCGGAACCATGCCCTTGCTTGTCTTTGTATCCTGGGTGCCTAGAACAAGTAGACTGACTAAGCTAGGAGCTCAAGGACTATTTGCAGAATTTAATCCTTTTGAGAATAAGTAAGTATAACTTAGTGTTTGCTTACTGTGTGCCAGGACTGTTCCAGAAACTTGAACAGTTCTATTTCAACTTACAGTAACTCTGTGATACAGACTGGATTTGCCCTTTGTTGCTTACCAAAGGCTTCTTTCATCAACCCTTTCAATATTTCCTGAAACCACACCTTTCTCTTTATTTCCTTCTACCGCAAGCTTAGACATGGTCGCTAGACGTCTCTGCAGCTTTTCCTCCCTCTTGCCTCCCATCATCACCAATGTTTGCTTTCTGAGCACTTCCTTATTTTTGTGGCATTATAAGATTCTCCATCCTTCTCTTGTATATTTGCTGCCCCAGCCCTAGAATCAGCCATTTCTGCAAAGGGCCCTGATTCTTTTTATTGAAGAACGATATTAGAAACCAAGATCTGGAGACTGGGTATAATCTTATTTCATTTTAATGAATCTTAATTTTAATAGCCGCATTTGGCTAATAGCTACCACACTGGAAATGTGGCTTTAGACCTTATATGCCATTATCATAAATGTCAAAATACTGGACTCTGGTGATTGTCAGCGGCTGGGTGGTGGGGGAATGGGGAGATGTTGCTCAAGGGTACAAACTTCCAGTAATAAGGTGAACAAGTTTGGGGATCTAATGTACAGCATGGTGATTATAGATCATAACACTGTAACATATACTTGAATGTTGATAAGAGAGTAGGTCTCAAATGTTCTCACCACAAAAAAGGTAACTGTGACAGGATGGAGGTGTTAGCTAATGCTTTGCTGGTAATCATTCTGCAATTTATAAATATATAAAATCAACACCTTGTACATCTTAAACTTACGCAATGTTATGTGTCAATTATATCTCAATGAAGCTGGGGGGAAAGACTGGACTCTGTGGACCCACATAGAACTCAACTCTTTGGAAAATGTGTTAATTAGGTTACATGGCAAAGAGTCCCTTACCCGATAATGAAGCAGGAAACAGCAGTCCCCAAAAAGGCATAGGCCAGAATAGACCCAAGATTTCTGAAAAAGTGTCTCTGAATAAAACAGAAAAGCAGGAATCACATTGTGATTTTTTGACAGTAAGCATTAGAAACACATTCAAAGTCTCTAAAAAGTGAAACTTTACTTACTGCTTCCGTTATATCAAGTCATAATAAACATTACTCCTGAATTTGCCCTTGAACATCATGGTTTTAAAATATCCTTTGTCTTACCAATCACTGATCAAGCAAGCAAAGTCTTAATAAATTTCAGACACAACCACTGCAACCAGTTATATTAAATTACATTAAGTGTGTGTGTCTGTGCACGCGCATGTGCACGCACACATGCATGTGTATAAGCAGACCGATTGTTTTAATAAATTTAACCCAAACCATTTTACTCTAGTGATTCAGTTAGTCACTTCCAGTTCTGGTAGAACCTTAGAAGATCATTACAGATATAAGTTTGAAACTAATAAAGCATGAAAGTGCCACCTAAGGAGCTTTCTGCTTGATTCAGTATCAGAAAACAGAATGTCCTAAGAATCAGCTCATGGCATTTGTGGTGTCTCCTGATATTTATCTGGATTAATATTTAGAGCCTGGGAAAGATAGATGTGAAGAAATGAGAAACAACTAATTCCAGTTAAGATGGGCAAGTTTTTGCTCTAGCCAGTTTTCTCAGTGGTTAGAGAGTCAGCCCACGGACTGAAGGGTCACAACCTCGATTTTGGTCAAGAGCATGTACCTCAGTTACAGGTTCCACCCCAGGCCCCGGTTAGGGCATATGCAGGAGGCAACCGATGGATGTGTCTCTCTCATATCAATGTTTCTCTCTCTGTCTCTCTCCCTCCCTTCAAAAAATATCCTCGGGTGAGGATTTTTTTTAAAAGGATGGGCAAGTTGATAGATATGTTCATATACTTACATGGGTATACGATATAGCAATTATTCAGAAAGGGGTGGCAAAACTGTAATTCTCTTAATGCCTCTACATTTATTGGCTTCCTTAAAACACACGTGTGCGCGCGTGCGCACACACACACACATTTACTTCTCATTAAGCCTGTGGAATATTCTGATGGGGAAAATCCATGTTCTTGCGATCCTGAGCCATGGCTCTTACTCTTCAAGGCATAAATTATTTTCATTGGACAATCAGAGCTATTTAACAAAAACAGATGAACAAAATCCCTCCAAATACCCTAATTAAACAGGGGCCAGGAACACTTTATCTTAAAATTTAAAGAGGCAAGAGAGTCCTGGCATGACAGCCGAGCAACATCAGAGACAAACAAGACACAAGAACTCAGCCTGGATCGAGAATCCACCATGAAGTATGGCCACACAAAAGGCTGCGGGCATCCTCTGGCCTGTGTTCCAGACAGAGGATCTGAGGACTTGGCTTTGGTCTTCCCCAATGCTTGCCTCTCTTTGAGGCAGAAGAAGGTGTCAAGGAATGCCTACTGTCCTTAAACCACTGCTCAGAAGAGAAGCCTTCAAAGACTTGACATACCACAGTGACCAAATGAGGGTGCTGCCTGTATATATTATAGGCACATGATGTTTGCCTCTTAAACTAGTCATTTTATTGCATGGGTCGATTCATGTAAGCACCACTGCCATCAAAACACAGAACTGTTTTATCATCAGAAAAATCTCCCTCATGCTCTCCCTTCATAGTCACACACATCCCCTCTCACTCCCACATCCCTAATCCCTGGAAACCACTAATCTGTTCTCCATCCCTATAATTTTGTTATTTCTAGAATGCTACAAAATGATATCATACAGTATGTGACCTTTCGTGATTGGATTTTTTTTCACTCAGCATAATGCCTTTGAGATCCATACAGAGTGCTGTATATATCAATAGTTTGCTGCATTTTATTGGTAAGTAGTATCCCATGGTATGGATGTTCATTAACCATCACTTACTGTAGGACATTTTAGTTGTTTCCAGTTTGAGGCTATTACAAATAAAGTTGCTATGAATAATCACATACAGGTTTTTGTGTGAATATAAGTTTTCATTTCTCTGGGATAAATCCTCAGGAATAAAATTGCTGGGTCCTATGGGAATTTCAACTTTAGTTTTATAAGAAACTGAGGAACTCTTTTTCAGAATGGCTCTGCCATTTCCATTCCCACTGGCAATGTATGACAGTTCCAGATTTTAAAACAAAAATGAATCACTGATGATGAGTCAACTATAGTCCCTGAGTGGGTACGGAACACAGTAATAAGCAATCTGGGAGAAGTAAAAAACTAGAAAATTATGCAGGTAAATTAACACAGAGATCCCCATACTTTAAGAAATACTGGCAAAAAATCATACTCCTTACATAATTTAAAGCCTTTCTACCTATCAAGAGAAACTAAAACTTTAAACCAAGCAATAACATTATTAAAAGGTCAACCAGCAAGAAATCTGTCGTGGGAATTCTTTCCATAGTTTCCATGAAGTAATTGGTACAGGTACACCAGACCCACTTTGTGGCATTACCTTATATACCACACACACGTGTACTATTATGAGCAATAGTTTGGAATGTGTTTACAGTATGATATATTTCATTTTTCAACTATACAAAGCTTTTGTTTTTATGATCATTTGCCCCAAGAATGTCATTATGTTGTTATCTGTGGATAATTTATGACTATTTTTAAGCTTGAAAAAAAAAAAGAAATACTGGCAAAAATCTCTTACCTTCTTCAAACTGTATCCAGCATGGAAAATAATTGGAGGCAGCAGAATGTTGAAAAAGACCTCTGGGTCAAACGTTACCTAAAAGTTTAAAAGGAAAAAAGCTCATTTTTACTTTAATACCAATTGGTGCTATGATGTTTGCTTAATATTTTAAGCCACTGGCTAAAGTGTGAATATTTAAAGCACGTGACATAAATGTGAAAAGCATGAGCTCATCACAGAAGAGAAGCCACAGCTCCCCTGTGGGCTGACGTGTTCTTGTCCACATAGCACTTGTGAGTTCTACTCTTGCTCTGCTGTTTAATACATATTACTATACGATAGTACAGTGCAATTTTGAGACCTCATACAAAGCTTTTGGTCAATGTTTTTAAACAAGAAAGAAAACATCTTGATTTTTAGCAAACCTTTATGAAGGCTCAACTGCAATAAAAGATGCAGTCATCATTCTTATTAATTTTCTGGATCCTCTCACAGAATCATTTATAGACATAATGCTACCAAATTTAAGTCTCTTTTGAGTGGCCAGCCTTCTGGGACACATGATGTGGCCTAGATCAAAGTCTCCAGCGATGCTAATGGTTTCCTAAACATCAACATAAATTCAGCAGTTCTAAGGGGACTAACATTACCTGTAGGTTTGATACAGGTAAATCATTGTGAAATTATTAGACATCAAAGTCTTATCACATCCAGAAAACATAACCATTCTATTAACCTCCTAACTCTTTAAAAAATGTGTTCTTTTTACTGGTAGTAGATTATTTGGCTCTTATTTCAATTAATTATTAAATCTTCATTATAATTATTAAAACCAAAGTTAGCATTTCTCTTTAGAAACGGGAAATGTTAACCAGTCTAATTACAAAGAGAATGGTTCTCTCAAAATTATGTTTTATTCTATCTTCTTGCTAAAGGTAAGAGTAGTCTGAAAAGCGGGGACTGTCCTAGCGAGAAGGGGATTTGGACAATACCTATGCAGTATGAGGATACTGGGGCCAAAGAGAGTGGCGCTTGCTGGAAGTCACCACACCCAGTAATGCATGAAGCAGCACAAGAGTTTCTTGACTCCCACACCATCCCATGCAGGCTTATGAAGGGTTGAAAGAAAAGAGCGCATTAGAACTGCCATTTGAGACAAGGAGAAGATGGGCATATTGAATGCTCCAGGTTGAGAATAATTTTCTTTAAGGATTAGGGTAGATCTTGAGATCAATAACAATTTAATTTTTGGAGCACAGGCTATACTCTGTGTTTGACTGCAAGCCTTCACACACATTAGCCTTATTCCATATTACAAGGAGCTCCCATGAGTTGTATCCCCTAGACTTTATCCAGAAGCCTTCCTGCTGATAAGCCCAGGTCTATAAGGTACTAGAATATATGAGGATAAATACACATCTTTTGCTTACGCTGAAAATCACCCAAGTAAGGAGATACAGAATCCTTTTTCCTGTGGAGTATTTTAGCTAGCCCCAACATCAAATGAAAACCAATGTTTGGATTCAAATTCTAAGAAATATCCTTCCTCTGAAGAATAAGCCGTTGGCATCAATCACCAATGAGAGGGAATTCTCAATCAATATTTATAGAATATGGCCAAAGAATCATGAAGAACTAAGAATTATACTTCTGAATTCTGAATAAACAAGCTGAAAGTGAAACCAATCTTAAGAAAGAAACAACCTCATCCCTAAACCATAATAAAAGACATAGTAAAGAAAAGATGGGGATTGGAGAGACCAGCTGAATGGGGATGTACAAACCCACCGCACCATCAGTGTCCCAAGTCAGCCACTGAACCTCGCAAAGCTGTAAGGCTCAAGTTCAAATATGGTTCTTTCTTCTCTTCATTATAACCCCAAAGCTTCCCAGGAAAACGGAGAGGCAGGAATGCCACCTATGCTCCAGGAGTTTAAAAGGGTTTCTCTCCATAAGATCAAGACAAAACTGGAAGTCAAACACCACGTCAGACAACAACCACTGAGTGTCCCCATCTCACCTTCCTCAGCATGTCATTCTGCTCTACGCTGTTGAGCTTGCCGGGGCTGATTTCTCCTTTCAGGGTGTATTCAAAGAACTTCCCACTGACATTGACTAATAATGTGCTGAAGGCCCTGTCTTCCTGAGTGCAGCTGAGGGACTTGTCATGGCCACTGGTGGCAGGGGTGCCGTACCTCAGGATCACCCCGACGATGAGCCCTGAAACAGAGTGGGGAAAAAAACACACATGAGGCCTGTGAAAGGACAGAGAATGCATGGAAATAATGGCATGGGTGATTTACAACAACTAAGCAACTCAGAAGTCATCTTAAAGCTCAGGTACAGGGTATGTATTTTAGGAGCAACTGCACAATCCTTTAAAAGGGTTAGCCATCCCTCAGCCACCAGGAGGACAAGGTAGGACAGTATCTTTCACGGTTATTATGGCAATGAGTACTTTTTAACAACTGATCGCATGTCATTTCTCAGGCTTTTAGTGAAGGAAGATGGGATGATAAGAAGCAATTATTTTTCTGCCAAGGGTAGAACCTCTGAGCTCTTTGATTTGCACCAGCAACAGCCCTCAGGCCAGTCCGGCTGCCATCTGCCCACAGGACCGGGCTGCACTGCAGGAATTTCTAGTTGTAACAAATGCAATATGCTTTGCCACATACCAGAGGAAGAAGATAAAAAGAAATGTTTTGTTTAGGTCATTTCAAGGACTAGGTATCACGGAAAAAGTAATTACATCCCTTGGGAAGCTAAACACCACAGTGCACATTTTTGCAGTTATGATCCAGGGACTGTGCAGTCAACTTCCAGGGCCTGTGGCTATGATACGGATAACATAATGACCTGCAAGTCTTTAAATCTCATTTCTCCTTAGTAAGGTTTTTCCATTAGGAATCCCCCCCCCCCCCCCCCC